GATCAAACTCATTTACACAATTCAATCCAATTTTATTTTATTACAAATGAAAATACATCATTTGGATAATACAAAAAGAGAGATATCAAAAAAATTGCCCATATATTAATTAAAATACCGTAAATGATCAAATAAGCGGTCGGCTTATAAAATTTTTGAAGGCTTCGGTGCGGCGCTTACTTGAGAGCAGCGCTTATTCGAGAGCGGCGCTTATAAAAACAGATTGCTATAATGTTCCTTTTTTATTTGAAAAGCCTAGCCTATCCGATTCTTATATATAGGTGTAAGCTGTAAGAACAAGAATAGATAGACCTAGAATAATTAATAAATACCTATTAAGGTCAGAACTCTCTATAGTAGCCTATGAATAACCTACACTATGCAAGTTTTTATACACACTGCCGATATGCGGTGCCCTACTCCACTGGCCTCCCATCATGCAATTCGGTTAATTTTACAATTTTGGGCTTGCTGCTTGTTCTTCTATATTCCTTGATCAGATTAAAAAGCTATGAAAAACTTTTGACCAGCTGACACACAAAGAGAACAGCACTAAATTGAATTTAACAGGGCCCACCAAAGTTTAACAATGGACATGGTTCAGCACACATACAGTGGCTACCACAAGTTTAGCTGACCGACCTTGGAAAGTAATGAATCAGGCAGCAAATTCATTGACCAATGCCTACAGTACACCTTAACTTTCTTTAACACTTGCAGCCGAGGAGTGTGGCTTCCAATACAATATGGACGGAGAAAGCCAATCGGATCCAGTAACTGTAACGTCAAGAACTATGATTGATTCCATTAATTGTCATTATGACGCCGTGTGTCTTTTGAACATCAACAAGACGAGTGGAGTCTGTCAGTGTAAAGATGGCTTTTCTGGTGATGGAGTGACAAATTGTTCAGGTAAGTAGAGCAATAAGGAGAGTGGAGAAAGATTTTGCAGGTTACAGTGGGACAAGTTAAGCCACTTTTTACATTTTGCATCATTGCGTGTCCAGCGTTCCAAGTTGGAAGAAGTAACTTTTGGTAGATCTAGTTAAATGTGGCAAAGACAAACCAAACCAGTCACTCGTCACAAAAAAATGATTTTTAATTATTAATAACTAATTTTTAGTTATTAATAACTAATTAATTTGTCGGATCACTAATTATAAGGCATGCTTTGTCTCATAGAGATCCTAAAAAATAAACATTAATTTTTTTTTCTCTCTTTCGTGGTGTAACCACCACCTTTATTCAAAGAATCTTCGTTAAAAAATTTCAAGGTACAATATTTATTTCTATTTCAAGTCTTTTTTAAGTTCTTTTCATTACATTTTTGTTTTATTCATACCAGTTTTTAATATATTTGCAATCTTTATATCTATATAATTTGATAATAGTTGTTATCAATTTTTTATATCTTTTTTTAACAACAAAACATCAATAATAACAATTATATAATTATATAAAATTATTTTGGAATAAAATATAATTTAAGATGGTTAATAGAATAATTTAAGATTTTTTATATCACATTATATAATTATTATATTATAACATACTTTATTTAATATAATCTTCATAAAATGAAAGAAATACCATGATTTTTTTAAATATTTCAAATATGTTCTCTTTACATTAACTGTTTTTTCTCTCTTTTATACAATTGTTTATTACTGCACTTTTTTTAAATAAATATTTTCTTGAAGTATAGCAAAATAATATGTAATCATATACAAATATATAACATACCAGTTTATAAGTAATATAAGTACTGTAACAAATTACGAATACGTCATTATCATTATAGTCATTCGTGCCTAAAACAATCGTCACAATGAACTAAATATGATCCTTGGTTCATGCAAAAGGCATGAATTGCCTATTTTTGTGATAGATATGATATTGTAGGGGAAGGTTTTCCTAATAATTTAATCATATGTGTTAACGTATTCGTAAGCTTTGAAAACTCCCTAATAATGCACAACACAACTGTAGTTCAAAAAATTAAATCATTCCATTTTACTTTTTAAACGTGTGTAATACCCTAACCTGGGTCATCATAACTAATATCAAATTACATCAAATTTTTTGTTGATCTTTTCAGCAATGTTTGAATGCAGCCGAAAACTTCAGCAGAAAAAAAAGCTTGTGATTGTGACATATGACGTACCGGACAACAGACCCCAAAACACTTTCTTTCCCGGGGATGAACTCCATTACTCTTGTCCCTTTGGGTATGCGATGCGAAGAGCTAACAAGAAAGTGAGAACATGCAAGCTAAATGGTAGTACACCGGAATGGCTGCCAAAGCTCCATCCTGTCTGCGTGGGTAATTACAGTATATATATTTTTAATTTTTTCCTGATCATTTTTAATGTTATAATGCCACGTGAAAATTATAGTTTATTTATAATTTTAATTATTTTTGGTTTATAGATGCCAGATG